ACTCTGAGTGTTCTGGTCCCCTGTTATACCTTAATATGCTCTTGTGTCAAGGGACTGGTCTCTGGTTGACGGCAGAGGCATACAGGAATATGGGCTGAGTCAGAATGTTCTTAATATCACCCAGATCAGCCAGAGAGTGAAGGTAGCCCCGCCTCTGACAACCAATACAAGTAGTGAAGAAAGCGATTTAGCTAGTCTTGTTTTCAGTTGTTGGAGACAGGGCTGGAAGCATTCCTTCAGGGTAGGTTTTATGAATCCCCTAAAATCCATCTCTCCCCACTTCGCGTTCAGGGGCATTTTATCATGAACAGAAAAGTCTATTGATGTTGAATTTCTGAGGATGCCGTTGTTCAGAACAAGATCTAAAATTGTACTTTCCTTTACTCTACACCCACACTCCGTCCCTTTTCCTCCTCAAGCCCGTGTCTGCATTCATACACCTCATTCACACACACACACACACATTGTCCCACAAATTCCCTCTACTTTTCTTCATTCATACACCTTTCATTCTTCTCCTTTCTCCCCTCTTCACACTCCCACCTCAGTGCCCAGACACCCCTTCCCCTTGAAGGGCTGGGTCAGACCAGCAAGTGAATTTAGACTTGCCCCTCCCGCCTTCCTGGCCTTACTTTGTTCCGGTGGGAGTGGGAGGTGGGAGGAGCTGCATCGGACTAGCACCAGCTGCCCCCGGCCGGCCTGTGCAGGGAGCTAGGATCTGCTGTAACAGGGGAAGTACTGCAGGTGGAGGGCCACACCCTCCTTCCGTCGCTATAGAAACTATGCCCGGCCTTTTTGTGACTCCGAAGCTGAAGGGGCTTAGACTCTGGTCCGGTCCCCAATCCCCTTCACATCAGCGGAAAGAACCTATCTCCTGAGCTCAGCCCGAATCCCCCGCCCGCAGTGGGACGGGAGAAATGTGGCATTCGGAAGACCCACTGCTGGGCGTCGCTCGTGGGGAACTCAAATCCTTGTGATCGAGTCCCCTCCCCCCGAACAAAAAACAAAAACACATCTTCCTCCCTAATCCCTAGGTCCTGAGGATAGAGTTTAGAGTAGACTGAGCAGACCAAACATCTGAGATTATCCCTCTCCTCTTCAAGAGAAGTATGGGGTTGTCAGAGGAGCACCCAACAAAGGTTCTGGATGTAATTTATTCTGATGTAATTTATTAAAGTGAGCACTTTTGGGTTCCTACTCTGAAACGAGGTGACGGCATGCAGATAAAGGAAAGTTAAAAATGAATGACAGCAGCTTGGTCAGCAGAAACTCATTGTTAGTCTAAGAAAGAACAGACATTCAATAAAGCTTTTTGAAAGAACTGATATTTGAGTCTTCGAGAGCAAGTAGGAGCAAGTCTGGCAGTGAACACACCCTCATGGCTCAACTTTCAGCCAGAGACAGGCCTATAATGTGACCAGTAACAAGAGGGAGGAATGCACCCCTTAGAACAGTCAACCAAAGGAGATCAAAAGGGCAGTCGTGGCCCTGAGATAAAGCTCAGAAGGCAGAAAAACATAGGAAAGGTGGCATGGAAATGGGAAATCAGCGTCACAAAATAAAATGTGTATGAACTGAATGGGAAACCAATCTGTTTTGTAAACTTTCATCAAAACCACAATAAAAAGAAAAAAAAAAACAACAGAATTTTTAAAAAATAGGAGCTAGTCATGTAAAGGCAAGTATGAACCTATATGAAAGCCCAAACACCCCCACTACAAAAAGAACACAAAACACACCCATACCAGTTGTCAGAGACTCAATTCAGTTTGTCAAGCCAGGTATTTCAGGAATAGATTACCAGCCCTTTCTTCCGACCAGCCTCTGGGTGAACCTGAACCACCAACCTTTCATTTAGTAGGCCAGCACTTAATCGTCTCTATCACCATCACATCGGTTCCAACTCATAGTAAGCCTGTATAGGGCTTCTGAGGCTATAAGCCACTATGGGAACGGAAAGCCTCATCTTTCTTCCAAGGAGTGCTTGGTGAATTCTAACAGCTGACCTTGTAGTTAGCAGTCCAATGTGTAATCCACTATGCCACGGATATGAAGCCCCAGGGCCATGGAAAAGGAGAGCACCCTTAGGAGCAGGCATTCAGTTTGTTCCGGCTAGGTACATGGCAGTATCCAACTAAAGAAGCAGACAGGGGCCAGCCAGATTTTGAAGCAGCTTGTGAATTAAAGGGGTTAAGGTGTACATTTGAGGATTTTTAGCAGAGAGGTGTTCATGTTCAATTTTATTTTAAAAACTTCACTCTGGCAATAATTACATGGAGGGCAGTCTAGAGTAGGTTAGGATGCCTGTTAGTAGTAAGTGATGATGTCTTAGAGTAAAAGAAAACAGGTGGAAGGAAGGAATAGTTTGGAAAAAGACAAGAGTTTGGTGTTTGGATGTAAGGGGTGAGAGAGCAGAGAGACGAAGTTCCAGGCCTTAGATATCTGGGGTGATTGTTGGATCATTTATTAACAGAAAATATAGAAGGGAAAAGGTTGGGGATAGGGAGCATATTGTTGAATTTAGTGATTGATTTACTACATCAAACTGTCAATGCACCAGGTAACAGGTCTGTGTCAAGAGCAAGGTTTGAGCTACAGATCCTGACTCGGCACACAGGTTTATCACTGGAGGTTAGTCATCCAAGCTCTTTAAAAAAAGAAAGTAGGGGTGGGGGGGGTGGCAGGGCAGGTACCAAGGGGACAAAAAAGGAACAAAAATGTACTGTGGTGGAAGTATCTACAGGGAACACTAAATACTAGAGATAATACAGAGCAGGGAGGAACATGGGGAGAAAATTGCACTAGAATGGCCTCACATGAGCCAAGGAAATAAGTGTTTTACGCAGAGTATGATAAACAGGTTCGGTAAAACTAGATGAGACAACAGTACAATGGATTTAGCAACATAAAAGTAATTAGTGGTTTCAGCTTTTATGACCAGTTTTAAAACATACTTTTAGCTAATTTACAAATAGAAATTATTATGATTACCATGGAGAAAACAAGATTATCAAGTTGGCGTTAGATGATTCATCAATGATATCAGTATTCAACTGAGGAGGCTCTTGGCAAATGTTTATTGTTGAACTGCACCAACACCCTGATATTATAATTATATAACTGGCAAATGGTTTTAAAAGGAATGTAGTGGTGTATGAGCGGAGTCCTGGTGTGGCGCTGTGAGCTAATGCATCAGACTGCAAAGTCGTTTGAACTGCAAGGTCGGTGGTTCAAGCTCACCAGGTGCTCCTTTGAAACCCTGTACAGGGTCGCTATGGGTAGGAATGGACTCGACGGCACTTAACCACAACAAAGTTGTGTATGAAAGTATAGAATATTCACTACTCCTTGCTGTTGACTTGATTCTGACTCAGAGTGCCCCTCACAGATATTGCATAATGGTCCACATGGGGTTCCAAGGTTGTAAATGTTTACAGAAGCCAATTGCTATATCTTTTATACTTAGAATGGCTGGTGGATTTGAACTCGTCTTCTGGTTAGCAGCAGAGTTGCCTTAAACAGCTCCTTCAATGTTGTTGTTGTTAAGTGCCTTCGAGTCGATTCCTACTGATAGCCACCCTTTATAGGGTTTCCAAGGAATGGCTGGTGAGCTTGAACCAAGGACCTTGTAGTACAGCGCATTAACCCACAACGTCACACCAGGACTCCAACTAACTCCTTAAAACAATACATTTTTGTTGTTGTTAAGTGCCTTTGACTCTGACTCAGAGCAAACCCTGTTCATGGTTTCTAAGGAACAGCTGCAGGGTTTGAACCAACAACTTTGTGGTTAGCAATCCAGTGCTTATCTTACAGTGCCACACTAGGACTCCCAAAACATAAGAAAAAAATGTACAGGAGGAATTTTGTATCGGAGCAAATGCTCTCTATAATCATACTTATTTTCATATTAACAATTGTTTCCATAAACCAAGAACTAAGCTATGTATTGGTTGGTGGTGGTGGTTGTGTGCCATGGAGTTGGTTCTCACTCATAGCGACCCCGCAAATCTTTACAGGAACAGAAAGTCTCATCTTTCTCCTGTGGAACAGCTGGTAGTTTCGAACTGCTGACTTGAGGTTAGCAGCCCGATTAATCATTTTTAAGTGGTTAACATGGTTTGAAATTTTTTTTTAATAAAAAATGATCAGAATCTGGTTGAAATTCAACATGAAATATCCACGACTATTTTTATTCACAGTAAATTCATACCTCAGTTTCCTAAAAAGCAACATTACCGAATATAACAGGGATGACTAAAGCACTGCTTAAGACACAGCTGCTCATTTATGTTTACAACAAAAAGGCTAAAATTCTTTGAAAAGCTCTCATTTTCTCCTGAACTGTAGACCATTAAAGACAGATGGATGCTGTGGTGTTTCGGAAAGAGGAGCACCTTGAGCCTTTTTACTTTGATTAAAGATTTTGACAAAGAAGCCTTCATAAAACATCATGAAATTCTACTTATTATACAATCAGCTTCTACTTCTAAGTATAGGGTGTATGCCATAGTGCAGCTACCATTTTAATGTGTAAAATTAATTTTGAATTCTTACTATAAATATAATTGGCTGCAATATGAAGCAGAAGCATCTTGGCAATAAAACCGATAAGGTGGCTTAAGCGGCTTCTATCATTCTAGAGACGTCTCTTGAAGGAAATGGAAATGGCTTCTTTCACCAGATAAACTGAACCGTTCAACTGCCTCTACATCAAAGTGACCATCGCTTAATGACAGTGACTTATACTTAAGGGAATAATACAACATGCTATTCAGACAGAAATGAAATTAGAATATAATCCTTATAAATTTATTATTGAAGTCTTGAAGCATTTTTCAGAGAACATCATCACAAAATGGGCAGCGGTCATTTATGTGACATGTTCAATGAGTCCTTTATGTTACAATCCCGTCCTCAAGTAATAACACAACCTAAATACAAACACAGAATTGTGATTTGCTACATCAAAAGTTTCTTTGCTACCACCCACATCACACTCAGCTACTAGCTGCAGCTGGATGTAAAGGTTTAACTCGTGCTAATCTGGACAAGCCCAGGCGAAGACTCTGACTTGGAGACTTAACAGATACCACTGGCAGTGGGCTGCTCTTGCTGCTGCTACTTCTGGATTCCGCTGAAAGAAAACAGGACGCTGATGTTAGAAATCCCTTAAAGATTCATATGTAAAACAGAAGAAGCAGAAGACATAATGAATGCTGTTCTGCTCTCCAGAGTTTATCAAACTATAGACTAGATCAGCAGAAGGAGTCCTGAAGAGCAGAAAGGAAGGCCTATTTCCAAAACACCCCCTTAAAGTCACGGTAATGACAATAAAACATCAACAGTGAAAGCTGAAAGAGGAAGGGGAAGCAAATAACATTTGTTGTAAAAGAGTAAGGAAATGCAATTATAATTTTCAGGTCATTTGGGAATGGGCTGTCTTTGTTATGTTAATGAGACACGATTAGTATAGGGTGTGTCTTAAATCCATCTTTTTCAATATATAAATCGGGCAGGGCAGTGGGCAGTGTTTCCTTCTGCTGATAGGGTCACTATGATACCAACTGGATGGCACGTAACAACAACAACCTAAATTGCAAGCTGTAGTCCCAGTGTAGTGCTGTAGGATAAACCCTGAATCCCAAGGTCGGTTTAAACTCCAAGGTCAGCAGTTCAAGCTCACCAGTCGCCCCTTGGAAATCCTATACAGGTTCTCTGTGGGTCAGAATTGTCTCCAGTGCACTTAACAATAAATTAGCAAGCAGAGACAGGAAGATTGATGCTAAACCACATCAAGATCACCAGGGAGTCCAAGAACACTGGGCATTATGGATACTAAAGAGTCATGGACCTTCACCCAGAGCTGTCAGAGAGAAAACCTCCCCTGAAGGTGGCACCCTGAATTTGGACTTCTAGCTTCCTAAATTGTGAGGAGTCTTGGTGTGGTGCTGTAGGATAAACACTCAATTTCAAGGTCGGCTTAAACATCAAGGTGGGTAGATCAAACTCATCAGTCTGTCCTTTGGAGCCCTATACAGGGTCGCTATGGGTCAGAACCGACTTGATGGCACTTAACCACAAATTGTGAGCAAATACATTTGTTTGTTGAAGCCATCCACTTGTGGTGTTTCTGTTCTAGCAGTACTAGATAACGAAGACACTAGATCAAAGGATGAGTTTATTTTTCTGTCTCCTGCCAAGCTTTTCTCTAAAAGAATGATATACGTACCTATGACAATAATGATGCCTGCTACTCCACAACCCAGACAGCACTGGGAATTAAGTAATCCTGCATTCCCACAGCCCAGGTCTAACTCCACCTATTAATTAACTTATTACCATTAGGGGAGTAACCACTACAGACCAACCAATAAAATGCTTCCAAGAAGCAAAAACTGGGGTGATTTGGAAGGGCTTAGAAAATAGAAGACAAATGAAGACACATCAGGAACAGGAAACTGGATAGAGGCTCTGGCAGAAGAAAACCTACCACATGCTTTGCTGCTGTTTTCAGGTACAGTGGTCAGTTCTGACTCATAGTGACCCTGTATAGGGTTTCCAAGGAGTGATTGGTGGGTTTGAACTGCTGACCTTGTGCAAGTTCGCAGTCCAGTGCTAATCCTACAGTGCCACACCAGGGGACCAAAAAAAGGATCCATTTTACTACAGAAGAGGGCTCATGTAGTTGGAAGTGGGAAAGTAGAGGTAGGAAGACTGAAGAAACCAGCAATAGTTACGTATGAAACAAACAGGATCTAGATTAGGGTTTTAGTAAAGCCAAGAGAGGTAAGTCAGGAAGTCCTTGGAAATCAGTGAGACTGGGTTGTGGAACAAGAGAAAACAGAGTGTGAGCCAGAAGTTGAGTTTGCTCAATGCTAGAATCCCCAGGTACAGGGCCTGCGGCTTCAGACTGGTGGAGGCTAACAGATTCTGGCCAAACGGATTAAGTTGCCAGATTATATCTCAGAAATCTTAAAATGGTTTTGTCCTTTGACTTGGTAATTCTAGTACTAGGAATTTATTCTAAGAAAATAATCAGAGATGTGGTCACAGATTTCTTTAAAAAAAAAAAAAAAAAAAGGATTGTTATGCCTATTGCAACCTTATTTGTAACACCGAAAAAACCATGAACAGCCCAGATGCCTAATATTACAGAATAGTGAAGTACATGAGGAATAAATGTGAAATTCTTGATGTGAGGAATATGTAATAATATGGGATGCTCAGAGGTAACATTTATACCTAGGAACACAATCCATCAGTAGGAACTTTCCAAGCCCCTGTCCTTGATCAATAAATATACCATACCTGGTGGCACCCACTTAGGTCTCCTGCTTTCAGCTGAAGGGCTGCATATCTGGAGTGGTTTCCTAGTGGCCTCTGAAGAGAGAGACACCTTCTTTGGTGTGGGCTGAGGTTCTAATTTGATGGCCACAGGAGCAGAGTCTACTGAAGCCACTTATTTGAAAAAAAATAAACAGGAAAAAATGCATCACATTGGGAGACAAAGTTTAAACCTAACATGTATGTGTAAAAATGATAGTTACATAATCTTACAAAGATATTTAGAAGACAGTACCATAGACTGGAAAAATTCTTATTATTCAACAAACATTTATTGAATGCCCGACAGTACCACAGACTGGAAAAATTCTTATTATTCAACAAACATTTATTGAATGCCCAACAACAACCATCTTTTGTGAACACTGATATGCTAGGCAGTGTGGTAAGCACATCACATACATGACCTTTAGCCCTTACAGGTCTTAGCTATTCTAGTGTCAGATGAAGAAACAGAAAGGGTAAGCAATCTGCCTGTGGTTAGAGAGTGAGTATAAGAACCATGATCAGACACCAGGCTCCATACTTGCAACCCAATACAGTAGAGTTGTACACACTAGTGACAAACTAGATCAGGATCCTGCTCCCAAGCAATTTATGGTCCAGTCACTAGATTCTAGTGGAAAGGAAAGAAAGGTCAAGAAAAGTGTATAAAGCAGTGTGTCTGGTAGCGTAGTGGTTACAAATCGGGCTACAAATCTCAAGGTCAGCAGTTCGAAACTACCAGTTGTTCCACAGCAGAAAGAGGAGGCTTTCTGCTCCCGTAAAGATTTACAGTCTCAGAAACCCTGTACAGGGAGGGTTGCTATGAGTCGGAACCGACTCTACAGCACTTAGCAACAACAACAAGGGATATGGCAGACTCCAGAGGAATGAACAGTAGGCATTCATCTGCAGGAAGCGGCTGTGGAGGGCATGGCCTGAGTCGAATCAAGGCTGAAGTGTAAAGATGAGGATGAGGGCAGTTTTCTAGGCAGAGGGATTAGAGGGTGCAAAGACAGGCAAGGCAGCAAGCTCCAGGACCAGCCACTGGTTCCGACTGGCTGGAGGTGGAACCTCAAGGGGAGGAAATTGAAAGTAACAGACAGGTGGGACCATTTCTGAAGAGTTAGCTATTACTTTTCCTCAGGAGTAACCTGTGTTTCAAAAGCATCTTTCAGATGGCAGTAGATGGCAAGTAGATGACTTAGAAGGCTGCTATTGTGATCCAGGTGGGAAAGGATAAAGGGCTGGACAAAGGTGGAAAATGAAGGGAAAGTATCATATTGGATGTGGTGGGTGATGAAGACAATCCATGATTTTCAAGTTGTGCTTCTGTGCACTCTGCTTGATGGAGCCGTTTACCAAGAGAATGGACATAAGAACAGGAGTAGGTTTGGGTTCTGGTTTTTGTTGGGTGGGGAGGAATGAGCAAGATAGGAAACCTAGGGAGAATAGAATAGAAATTCACTCCAGATAATGTTTGCTTTTGCTTTGAGATACCTAAAATGTATTCCAATGCAAATGAAAATGAACATTTCCACTATCTCCTCTTCCTAATGTTAGCATTTGTATCCTTAGGTTAGCACTGTCCAGCGGAAATTTCTGTAATGATGCAGCTTTATATCTGCTACTGCTCAATACACTTGCCACTAGCCACATTAGCGACTGAGCACTTGAAATATGACTCGTGAGTTTTTAATTTTTACTTTAATTAAAGTTATCAATGTAAATAAAATATAGCCACAATATATTATTGTCGTTAAGTGCCCTAGCGACCCTGTATACAGTTTCTAAGGAGTGGCTGGATGATTTGAATTGCCGACCTTGCGGTTAGCAGTTCAGTGCTTATCCTATGTTGTTTTTGTTGTTGTTAAGTGCTGTCGAGTCAGTTCCGACCCATAGTGACCCTTTATAGGGTGTCTAAGGAACAGCTGGTGAGCTTGAACTGCCGACCTTGCAGTTCAAACAGCTTTGCAGTCTGGCGCATTAACCCACAGCGCCACACCAGGACTATTGGAATTATGTGTGACAACTGAAAGACTCAAAGGCTACCCTATAAATTATTAATGGTATGAGAAATATAATCCATTTTTCATAATTCCTTATCCTACTACTTAATTGTTGTTTTACTTCTAATATTATGTATGTATATAATAT